ACCTGCAAGAGAGAAGAGAATAATCCCCCTAAAGTGCTTCACATTGGAGACGAGCCTCTGCCTTACGCTGCCAATTACAGCGCCTGCACCTGCTCCTCCTTCTGATCCTTTCCCTATTTCTCTTTCCTGTGCTTAGACATCACCTTCTCAGAGGTCTTTAGCACCCGCTTCAGATTCCCCAGCATCACAACAACCAGCCACTAAGCCTTCCAGATCTCCCCATACACAATTCCAAACAATGCCATTCATTAAAACAAAGGGAGATTGTAAAAGAACTACCAGAAGATTCATTTTGCAAATAAGGACCAAAGTTCTTCTAATCCAGTAAACTGTTTCACTAGTAGAAATTTCCCACATAAAATAAAATTTGCCAAATTTGCTAAAGAATGATTTAAAAGTTACTTCTTAATAATTTGCTTTAGTGTTTCAAAGAAAACCAAAAAAGACAGGATGCACATTATTTTTAAGAAAACGTCTCCTGAATGAGGAAGACAAGCAGTCTTCTTGGAAGTCTTTATGAAATAACACTTGTTTTGTCAATGCTACGTTATTTTCAATTAGATATATATTCATTTATTATTTCAGAAATGCTTTTTTATTACATTAAAAACCTAATTAGTCTGAAGAGTTAATAGGGCCATTGCAGCAGAATTTGGTAGTTTTCTGCTGGCTCATTTGTTTCCTATAGCTGGAGGAAGGGAAGCATGAATTACCATTTCCATCAATGGAGTAATATACCCAGAACTAGCATGAACTGTGAGAATTTATACTCTTCATTCAAAAATGCTCCCATGGGGAGAAAAAAAAAAAAAAAGCCAGGGAATTACCTTTCTCCTTACCTTTCGTTAATTGCAAAATAAACATATTTCCAAGAGTAAGGAGTTGCTGAGAGTCATTTTTATCTAGAGCTCTCCTAAAAGGCACCGGACCATCTGCCATCGTTCCCCTGACCCAGTGTTCACATTGCCTGGAAGGCAAGTTGACAGAATACAACCTGCATCTCGGCAGCAGTCTCTCTGAATTGCCCTTGGAGGCTCCACTCCTTTTCTCCTTCTGTCTCCCATTGTACGCTTTGATTTGAGCTACATCAAAGCATTATCTTCCTAGAGCTTATACAGGAAACTAGAGAAAAATTGCATCCTCCATTAAAGAACCCAAGTTTGCATTGAGCCACCTCCTGAAGGGACCACAAACATGCTAATGAATGGTGAGAGAGTCTGACATCAAGAAATTTGAAGACTTCTCCAAGCAGGAATGACTTGGAAGGAGCGCTCCAAAAGGACATCGAGCGCCAATGGAAAGCATTTGGTTCTGGGTCAGAGAAACCTGACACATCTGCTGTGTATCTGCTGTCTGCTCTTGGGCAAGTTGCTTGACCTTCCGTTTCATCATCTGTAAAATGGTAATGGTAAAAGGGCAATCACAGTGCCTATGAGCATGGTTGACACAGAATTACAGACAATTGATATAAAGGGTCCTGCTTATAGTGAGAAACCCATAAATGGTGGCAATATTTTTTTTTTTAAAAGATTTTATTTTTTCCTTTTTCTCCCCAAAGCCCCCCGGTATATAGTTGTGTATTCTTCGTTGTGGGTTCTTCTAGTTGTGGCATGTGGGACGCTGCCTCAGCGTGGTCTGATGAGCAGTGCCATGTCCGCGCCCAGGATTCGAACTAACGAAACACTGGGCCGCCTGCAGCAGAGTGCGTGAACTTAACCACTCGGCCACGGGGCCAGCCCCAATGGTGGCAATATTTTTATCTTTATTTCCCAAACACAGTGCCTTGCACAAAATTACAGTTAATAAGTATTTGTGGAAGTGATGGAGAGAGGGAGAGAGAGTGGGAGAGAGGGAGAAAGGAAGAGGGAAGAGAGAAATTTGAGGAAGATTCAAGTTTAATACTGACAGATATTTTCCTCTTTTTAATTAACAACTTTCCTGGTTATAATACACATTCATTGTAGACTTTTTTTGATTACCTCAGGCCATTAGCCAGCACCACAGATCCTACGATCAGAGTCCTCTGGTTTTGACTGGGGCTTCACTGCCTGATACAGCATTTGTGTTCACCTTGCCTCTAAGGAGGCATCTGTCACCTCCTGGTCTCTGCTATTCTGGACCCCTCCCTCCTTCAGTGACACCAGGAAGCCCAGTACCATGACAGGTTCTCCAGCCATCAACCCCAGCCTGCAAAGGACAGCCACTATCGAGCTTCTCTGTGACACAGGTGCCCCTCCCCAGTGCTTTATTCCTTGTGCTTTAGTGGAAGGGGTGTCCGCTGAATCCTCCAGGTGAACACAGCCAGCTGGTGGGCTCTCTGGTCATGTGTGATGAATTCATTCTAGCAGGCCCACCTCTCTGAGCCTTTTGCCCTCAAATACAATGCCAGGATAGTTCTGGCATCTTCTCTTCATTAATGTTTTCCCCCAAGCTTTAAAGAGTCATCCTAACAGCACATTGGGACTAGAGCCATCACAGGGAAGGTCCCTCCCCAGCCGGGTCGTCCTGAGACTAGACCCTCATTATCCCGGTAGAACCAAGGAGGGGTTGTGCGAGAGTTTGAGGAAGGCAAGTATCATCACTTAGAGCATCCTCCTTGGGTGGGGCCTCAGCCTGGTCTCCAGGCAAGGGGAGGCTGATCTCCTCTAGCAAGGATGAGCGGGGCCCTTCTGCAAGGGAACCTCAAATTAATTGTCCAAACTAATTGTCATCCATTAATTGTCCCCACTCCGGGTCTCTGTGTCCCACTCCTTCCCTATGAGGACCTTGCCCTAAGTATAGGAGACTGCTAGGGTGGTGGATTCAGCTTTTTAATAATTCAGCTGTTCTCCCGCGTAGGTGTGAGGCCTGGTGTGCAGCACAGCTGCCCTCCAGCTGCAGGAGAAGGGAGTCTCTTCAAATGCAGCTCTCAGGCCACACCCTGAGTGCTTCGATTGCACCTAACCAACTGAGCTACAGGCCTGATGATTACCATTGCTCCCACCTCTCTCAAATGTCATAGATATTGTATTAAGCAGGATATACCTTCCCACAGGTTTCCCATCCCAGTTCATCACAGGGGAGTCAGTCATTGCAATGCTACAGCATGCCTGATGGCTCTCAGAGCCAACGTTACTGCTTAAGGCATTCTGGCTGAGCTTGTCAGAAGGCAGCTATGCTGGAGTTTATGCATTTGCCCCCCTTAGATCCACTCTCCACCCTTCTTCAACCTGCTTCCCAGGAAGCCAACATTTATGGCCTGAATCAATGCACTCTCTCACTCTCTGCTCTCCCACTTGATTCGTCAGAGGATCAGGGCATGGGAGGAGAGAGAGCAAGGCCAGGTATTTGCTCCCCACTTTCCTCCCCGTAATGGTAATGGCTGCATCCTCCTGCGAAAGGCTGCAGCTCCTGTCAGGCATCCCTCTCCTGCAGTTCCCTTTGGGGTCTGATAGCCACTTCCTCCTCTTGTTCCTTTGGCCTAGGGTTGCCCCTTGCTTCTAAACAAGGGTTTAGAAGTGTTTTCCTACCCCCTGTTGGTTTCCTTAACTCTGTCCACACATTTATAAATAGTCTCTTCTTTAACTTCCCTCAGTATCCCCCTGCAGTATCTTTTGTTTCCTGCCAGGACCCATTCTTTCTTATGCTGTGGTCCTCTTTTCTCAAATTCTGGCAAGCCTTTACAGCCTCTGCTTTTTTTCTCTGAGTTTGTTTAAGAAACAGCCCCTTCTCTTAGAAATGCTGATGGAAGTTCTGAAGGACGGGTTGAAAACATTTGAGCGGTGTTTTATTATCCCTAATCAACACCCCCCACCCCCCCACACCCGTCCCAGCAGAGACCCCAGGCACTCAACTCCTCCTTCTGTCAGAGTCCTTCTTGCCTACCAACAGATCTGCACTAAAGGTTGCGGTGGATTTGGCCCATGTTCTTTGTTCCCAGATGTCCATGTCAGCATCCCAGCTCCTGCCCATCGATGCCAACATTTGCTTGACTCTTTTCATGGGGACGCGTCGATTCCTCATTCAGGGAGGACTCGTGCCTCCCCGCTGTGAGATGCCATGGCTATGAATGCAGACTGAGCCACCTTTGGCCTCACAATACCCAGTCACCTGTCTGTGTCCCTTACTAAACATGACATCCTAAATTATCACGTAAGTGAGAACAACCTTGTAGTTGATTTTAAGTGTACTTATTACTGTTATTCCAAGTGTATTAAAGACTAAAAAAACATTTTGGAAAGTTTTCATGAATTCAAAATACAGGGGACATGCTTTATTGACATTAATATGGAGTTCCTGGCATATTGTGAAAAAGGAACAGGGTTAATTTCAACTCCAAAAATGTCAGAATTAAAGACACTTGCATGACATTAGAGTTTAAAAAAAAAAAAAGTCACAGCAAATCAGCTGCTGTAAGATTTTAGCAAGAACAGGAGCTGGACAGTCACAGACTTTTCTCTCAAAGCCAGCAGTGCAGTTTTACTCCTATAAACACGTAAAATTTCTGAATTTAAAAATTTACAATTTAAATTTTAAAATATGCCTAATGGGAAAGAATAATTATGATTGATCATTTGGGGCACAGCTTTGGGAGAGCAGCACATGAGTCTAAATACATGAGCTTGGTTTCACAAGTTTTTAAGCCTAAATGACAGCCCTAGCTATATATTTTTGCTGAGTTTTTTTAATCACAAGGGACCTCTTTATTAAGGACCTTAAAGGGACTTTGGGAATTTTGCTTGGGAAAAGAGTCACCCAAATCCAGATGCCTTTCAGTTTGAGCCACGATTGCCCTCCCTTTCTCTAGTCTGAGCGGTCTCTGTTTCTTGTGTCGAGAATTGCTCAGTTAGAAGAAGGGAGTATTTTCTCTAAGGAAGCTTGCAGTTGGATTTTCTTTTTGGTCAAGAGGCCTAAAGCATTGGTTTTCTTCACTTATGGGCCTTTAATCATAAATCCAGTTGGAGACCCATTGTTAAATAGGACACGAGAATTTAAAGACTTTGTAGCCCCGTTTCCTAATTACACCTAATGCATTTGTACCATTGCCATATTATAAATCCAAACTGGAGGAGGATTATGATATACAAATTATGTTCTGAGATTCAAAGTAACGAAAAATTAATTTGCAGGTGTGTGAAACAGAGACTTTATTTCAGCGCAGGCACAAACATTGTTTCGCATTTTTAGCGTAAGTATGCTGCCTCTGGGCCTTGGGCCTGAGCAGGACCTATGGGGCACAGGGAACCTCCTCCACAGGCGTGGCCAGAATTACACGGTCCTTGAATCATGGGCTGTAGCTGCTGTGCTGCCCGTGCAGGTGGGTCCGCGAGACTCATGGCCACCAGCTGTGTTCGCGCCGGCTTCAGATGGTCTCGCACTCCGTGGTGGCAGTGGAGCAGGCCCCGCAGTCACAGCGGACAGCCACAGGGTAGGTGTAGAAGGGGTCGACTCCCGGGGCACAGTTGGGCAGCTTGACTGTCACCTGTTTGGTCTCATTGTAGGTACAGACTCGATGATGGGCTTCGATGTAGGGAGGTTCCAGAATGGGCTTCTGTCCCCACAGGTAGAAAACAGGGAACCCGTTAGAACATATCATCCTGTTGCATTTTCTTGGTACCATTTATCACTATCAGAAATTAGCCTGTTATTCACTTGTTTCCTTGTTAATCTGTGTCCTCCCAGGAAAAAGCAAATTCCTGAAAGCAGGACGCTGATTGTGGTCACTACCATCTCCTGAGCTCCCAGAAGAACCCCTGGCACACAGCAAGTGCTCAATAAACATTTAGCAAAGGAATCATCTTGATCATTGAAAAGCCTTCAAACTGGTCTCCTCTCTCTACCGTCACCCACAACAGTCTATTTACAACACGGCAGCCCCAAGTGATCCTTTTAAAATTTGAGTCCCATCCTAGCTCCCCTCTGCTCAAAGCCCCATTGATTTCCCATCTCCCTCAGAGTAAAAGTCAAAGACCTTACCATCACCCTCACGCCACACACCCTCTTCCCTGCACCTTCACCTTCTGATACGTCTCCCACATGCCCCTCTTGCTGGCTTCCTCGCTCTGCTCCAGCCCCAGGGGGCTCCTGATTGTTCCTCAAACCCACCAAGAACAGTCCCACTCCACGGTCTTTGTCCTTGCCATTCCCACTGCCCAGAACGCTCTTCTCCTTTGTGATTCACTCCTTCCGCAACCTCAGGTTTTTGTTCAAGTGTCGCCCTCCCAGGGCAGCCTTTCCTGACCATCCTATCTGAAACTGCAACATCCCACCCCACACCCTGCAACTTCCTCTCCTCTTCCTGCTTCATTTTTCTCCATAGCACCTGTCAGTACCATGTGACATATATGTTTTACTTACTTGTGTTGTATTTCTCCCACTCTAGAGAGTAAGCTCCATTAGGACAGGGATTTTTGCCCATTTTACTCACTGCCGTGCCTCTACTACCTAGAATAGCACCTGCCACCCAGAAGGTTCCCAATAACTATTTGTTGAATCATTGAAAGAAAACAGAGGGAGCAGGTTCCCGAGTGCCCAGCGCACTGTTCCAAGGATTGAAGGAGTCGTTCCTTCCTGCACCTTTTACAAATCTTGAATTCAAAGATAATTTTGATAAACAGAACATATAGATCACAAAGTCAGCACAAAGCAGTAGTTAAAAGCCCAAACCCTGCTGTCAGGGCTATTGAGCCTGAGTCCCTCTTCTGCCACTTACTGGAGACCTTGGAAAATCCACTTAACTTCTTGAAGCCTCAGTTTCCTCATCTGTACAAGAAAATGTCTAGCTTACAGCATTGTTGCAGAGAGGAGGTAAAATGATACATGTCATGCAGAACAGTGAGAACCAAGTATGTGTACAGTAAATATAATCTACTGTTCTTATCAAAGCAATTAGAAGAGTAAAGAAGTAATAATAAAAATAACAATTTACAAGCTTTCAAAGGACAGTGACTTCTCTTGTCCTAGGCAAATAAAATGTGTTTAATGGAGGCCCAGGGTGAAGTTCTGCATGAATGTCATGAAAATGATGGCTTTGCCTTTGACAAGGACCATATAGAAGTGCTGAATGGAACATCACCAGCTTCCTCCTGCTCCTCAGGTAGCATTTCACCCTTCCTCAGCTTGCTTCATGCCCTCTTACCCTCAGTAATCTGGAATCCCAGGCAGCGTTGCCAGATAAAACACAGGGAACCCACCCTGTAATATTTGAATTTCAAAGAAATGACAATTTTTTTTAGTATAAATGCATCACAAATATTGCATGGGACATATTTATAAAAAGAAAATGTTGTTTATCTGACATTCAAATTTAGCTGGCATCATGGTTTTGTTTGGTTTGGTTTGGTTTTTTGCTTATTCTAGCAACCCTAAACTTACCAGGTCATGAGCAAAGGCCATTTTCAGCAATAGTTCCACTTTCAAAGTAAATCCAGCCACTTTGTTGTCATGAACATCCTTATTTTCAGACATGCTCCCCAGTTCAGGTACCAAAAGTAAGTGCTTTCTATCTTGGAAACTTTCAGATTGCTGGGGAAATAAATCTCATTCTTTTGTTTATTTTCTATAAGTAACCTCCCTTTTCATAGCGCAGTGAAGGCATAAATAAAAGCTGGTGAACACTAAGGAGAATCTCGTTTTGTGATGATTTTGGTGCTTCTGTTTCTCCAGTAAGAACACAGTCCCTGACTTCTGTCAGTGACCATGATCCAATTAAAGGTTTCATCAATTTATAGGGAAAAGAGAAGAGAGCTGAAATGAAGGACATGGCAGTTTGAGATAGATTTGGGCCCAGAAAGACCTCCAAGAAGCCCAGAATTTAACTTCGAGCAGGGGGAGGCACCACCAGGCTGAGCCTTCAATACAAGAAGGTGCCAAAGTTCCCTGAGTACTTGATGTCAAGTCACAGCCACGGTATCCTTAGCAAGTGGATTTTCATTTGGCTATTAAGTCTCAAGCACCTGAATGATGCAAAAGTAAAGTTAATTGGGTGAAGTAGTTTCATTTAATCTGGAGGTTTCATTGCCATAACCCAATTTCATTCATGGGCCATAATTTTGTCTAAGGGATAGCAGCTTGCTCTCTGAGTCCCCGAATAGAAGGATATTTTTCTTAATGGCAATGTCCTCTCCTGCTGCCCATGGGCTTCTAAGTTGATGTTGATTAGGCTAGAGGATGTCCGATTCCAGGTAGAGGTCAATACTATGTACTTATTGAATGCCTTGTTCATATATGACACTTTGACAAGAGCTGTGAAAAGTGCAACAATGAACCTCCGTCCTCAAAAACCTTAAAACCTAGTGTTGTGTGTGTGTGGGGCGGGGTGGGGGGGAGTAAGAAAGACAAGCCCTAGACTAGAGTCATGGGCTGACCAGGCAGACAGAAAAACCCTGGGGAAGGAGTTGGCACAGGAGACAGGCATCAAAGAATAAATTGAATAATGACAGATGGAAATGAGAAAAGATATGAGAAATGGACCAAAGTGAGATGTCATGAGGGGTGTTTAAGAAAACTTTTAACAATCAGTCTGACAAGGCCAGAGCTTGGACTATGTATAGCCTCTGGGAAAACAGGCAGACGTCGTATTGCTGAGGACCTTGACAGCTGGTTGTTGAATTTGCAGTACTGGGTGCTCAGTAGTGGTTTTTGAGCTGGGATAACAAGATCAGAGTTGGTACTTCATTAGCAACCAACTCGGGCCTCAGTGAGAAGAATCAACAGTCACTATGTGGTGTGATTTGATGGGGTGCTGAATGACCGTCTTTCTCCCCACCCCTCTAACATCTCCCCGCCTCAGCCCAACAGGGTTCTAACTCTGTTTGAGAATTTTATCCCCATTTTAAATGCACTGTCTCTGACATGGCTGGATATAATTGAATATAAAGGGACTTAATAAATCTGTCCATTATAATCTCTGAGGGCTCGAGGAATTGTGGTGGGGAGTGTGGGAAGATCAGGGCTGTGGGTGAGGCACTGGAGGAGGGGCTGAGGATGCCCCCTCACCTGCTATTTAGCTTAGAGTCTCTCTCCTGGTCCCTGGCCAGCTTCATCACAGGTGGAGGAATACAGGGAAGAGTTTTGGTCACAGGCTCGAACCAAGAATTTATTCCCAACTTTCCAATGACTCCCTACATGACTTTGCAGTCATTCACCCCTTGAATTCCTCCATGTCATCTGCAAAATGGGTAGAATAATAGCACATCTTGACGTTCCAGAGATCATTCCCAAATACACAGACACCATGTAAATCAAATGATTAATTTTATAAATGCTTGGTTAGAGTGGCAAGATCATATCTCTTTCAGATTATTTTTGAAGGATGCCAAATAATCATTATTAAGAGAAAAAAAGATCCACAGGAAAGGGCGGATGCCCCAGCTCTACTTCATTTCATTAAAAAAGTGAACACTCAGGAAACCAACCCACGTGGCTGGCCCTAAAGGCGTTGCCCTATGGGCCTATCTTGGGACTCACCTCCCAGGTCTCACAGCGGCCCCAGCAGGCATCTGTGGTGATCCGAAGGCCCCTGCAGCCCGGCTTCTTGGCAAGGAAGGTAAACTCTCTCACAGCACAGCCCACAAAGGTGCGCAGGTCCCCGCTGTAGGTGCCGAGGACACAGCCACAACCAGCCAAGAGGAGCAGGGCCATGGGGCCAAGGAAAAGGTATGCCAGCTTCATGCTGTTTCTCTGCAGAAGGAAGGGAAAGAGAGTTTATCAACAGATACAGCTGCCTGCCATGGGGCAGCCCACAATGTATTGTTCACTATCAAAGTGACCTTGCTCTTAGCATTTCAGGAGAAATGAGCCAAGAAATTGTAAATGCCCACAACTCCAACACAGTGCTCAAAATCTCTCTAAGTGGCTCCAGTATGGATTCCATGGACCCATTGTTCTCCTTAGACACCCAACCCTTCAAGGGCATTCTCAGACTCTTCCTTACCGTGACCCAACTGCTAGACTTGACTTGTGTGTTAAAGAAGTTTGTTCCAATGGTCTCTTCAAAATAAATGCAAAACATGAGTAACACCAAAAGTAGACCTCCCCTCGCATGGACTGAAGTTACAAGTATGGAGAAACACTTACCTGATCTTGCTGGAGCTAACTCTTCTTTTAGAGCTAAAACTCTCACCCAAGACTTCAGAAAGTCACAATGAGTGGTACAAGTTTGCTCTGGGTAAACGTCTACCCTCTGTTACTGGGCTGCTTGATTGCTCAAATATATAGGAAAGGTCTTGTCAATCAAGACAAAAGAGAGGCAGATCCTTACAGGAACCACTGAATACATCAAAGCCCTGGGATAGAAAGCCTGTCTCTATTTTCCAAAACTGATTAACTTAGAGGGTGTTGTTCTGTTTCTTAACATCACCTACTGAAACAGAAAGTTACCTTGGTGGGTGACATAATCCTAGGGGAACAGTCAAATGTAGTTTACCTGGCTCTCAGGAGAACAAACGCACTGGGGCAAGATGGATTAAATTTTCCTTCATGGTAACCACAAATTTCCTTCGAAACAGGAGTCAGTCGCTAGCAGCTCATGGCAAACTCTTTCCCTTAACTCACAGCACACTTCAATACATTGAAAAATAACAAAACAATAATTCTTCCTGGAAAAAAACACAGAATCACTAACTGAAGGGATGGAAAGCACAGTGAGAAGAAACATTTGAAAGTCTTCAAATTAGTTAAGAATTGGATAATATTAATAACACTTTTTAAAATGAAGCATATAGGGAAGAAAATAGCAAGATTATCTTCCAGCATCGGAATTTAAGATGACTTTTCATTTCTTCTATATAGTTTTCAGCATTTTTCACATTTTCTACATTCAGTATGTTTTTAGAATAGAAAGTCAATTAATATGGCTACGTTAAAAACTAAAATAAACCAACAAGTATACATTTGTGTTGCAAGTAATGATATTCAATGCTGTTCTAATGGAAATGTTTCATTAGATTTCTGGTCCTTCAAAGTCTAAACTAAAAATTAAATCATATTCTTTATGAGGATAGCACACAGCTTATATTCCAATTTGTAACAGCAGCATACAAATGGATTAAAAAAACTGGTTGTTCACAGCGTTATTCTGGATTCTCTAAAAAATAAATGAAGCCGACATTGTTCTTGCCCTTAGCAGTTTACATATCATAGCAAATAACAACATAGCCAGAGACATTTAAGATGCATATTAAATAAATAAGTGCTAAGAAGTTTAAGCATTTCCATTTTCCGCAAAGAAAGATGTTCTCTAAATAAACATGCTACTCATTAAGGCTTTGATTTTTCAAAGCATCTAACAACCCTCATGCTAGGCCATCCATATACCATCCCTAGAGTCAGATTATTATATGTGTTTTATAGAAAATTGAATTAAGCTTGGAATAATGAGAGGACTCTCTTTGGCCCTTCAGCTTGTGAGTAACATAAATAGAGCTGGGACACTATGGGGACAACTGCTCACCTGGTGTGATCGTCCCAACTTGCTGGACCAAGAGCTGGCCAGTTGGCAATGAGCTGCCATCCTGAGCTGTGTTTCTAAAGAGGAGTCTCAACCCTTTTCAGTTAGACCTGAAACACACATGCTTGTGTCTGGAATGTCACAAGATAAGGAAAGACAGCAAAGGGAAGCCAAGAGTACCTTTCTTTCACAATCCCCAACTTCCTTATAATGTAGAGCTGTGGCATGATGCCTACCCTCCACCAGCATTAACATTATAATAATGACAGTGTATAGTCACTGAGTACTGTGGAATCTGCTCTGCTCCTACACATGTCGTCTCTAAATCTTACATCAGTTCTGTAAATCAATGATAGTCTTCTTTTTACATTGGGAGAAATGGAGGCTCAGTTATTTTGCAACGTGCTGCCTCCAAAGCCTTCGACAACATTGGGGTTGGCAAATAGGTTTGTTTCATCCCCGTAAACAACTACAGTCAATTGGAAGGCGATACCTGGAACACGGTGTTAAGAAGGTGTCTGAATTCACTCCCAGTGCTGAGGGCAGGGACCCATCAGCTTCATCACAGGTGTAGGAAAGGGGAACAGTGAATGGATGCCACTTTTTCCAATCCTTGCACTATGCCATGTCACTTGCCCCACTTTAGGTTGCTGTGTGATTTCAAAGGCTACTTAAGGCCCTGATACCTACAGAATATCTCAGCAACATAGTCTGTGCATCTGCCACCTTCCTTTCCATCTGCAGTGACATTCCCACCATTAAAGTCACTCTCTGGAGGTAACGAAGATGTGGGCAACATCTCCAAGCACAGGCCCTGGTGCATCTTCTCTCGTCTTTTTCCATTATCACCTTCTCATGGATTCATTGTCATCTTGGAGGATGAGTCACAAGGTACAGATTCACTAGGAGCAAGGAGAGGGGAGAAGGAACACAGGTAAGCACAGGGAGCATGACAACAGAGGAGGAGTGAGCTGAATGTCAGTGCCTGGAAAGGGTGACTGAGCAACTGAGGCCTGGTCCAGGGATGGCAGCCCCGGATGGGGAGGGCCTGGGGTGCACACTGTATGCAGGGGATGGAGACATTGCAAGAGCCTGGAAACTCTCTTCTCTGGCTTGGCCATGCTGATTCCCAGTGGCACAACTTCCTGTTGTGACTGCCTTGGGCAGCCACAAAGTCACTTCTCTCAGCCTCAGTTTTCTCATCTGTAACATGATGGGATTGGCCCCCAGGACTCTTAAGATCCTTCCCAGCACCAGAATTTAAAGATTTGAAAACTATTTTATGAACAGAACAAGGTGAGGGAAAGTCAGGTGGAGAACCTGACTTAGAATAAAGTCATCAAGATTTGTGTGCAAATCTTGACCTTGACACTTGGCAACTTGTGATCTTGGACAAGTCTCATAACCCCTCTGAGTCTCAGTTTCCCACAAAACTGCAAATGCCTCCTTCATGGAACTCATGTGAGGATTCTACAAAATAATGTCTACAAATTGCTTATCACAGTGCTTAATACATGACACGCAGTCAACGCATGTTGTTTCTCTCTCCCTCCCAGGGAATGCATCACCACTGTGTGCACCCCTAAGAAAGAAAAAGCTGCTGATAAAGAATTATGTCAGACCATTAATTATCAGGCATATCCTGATTTCAAAGGTATTAAATGTAGGGAAAAAATGTGAGTCTGAGAATAGAGGAAGCAAAGTCTTTGGAGTCTAAGAGACCTAACAGCATCCTGAAACCAGGAGAGACACAGGTGGCCACCAACCAGGCTCCCCCAGCCAACCTGTGGTGCTCTGATCTGACACTAAAATTAACAACATGTTTTCCCATAGGAAAAATGTCTGAACTGTTAGATATAATTTTTAAGGTCCAAATCTCATACTTTGGGGGTTCAAGCTTTACCCTGCTTCCAAAATTCAATATATTAGTAAATCTTCATAAATACTCCCAAACAATTTCAGTTCTGACCAAGAATGGAGTCCAACTAACTGAACCAACCAAAATGTGCTGAGCACGCACTCCGTTCCACAGGTATGGAGAGCCCCTAGGAACCAAGCTATTTGCTGTGTCGCCTACAATGACCTCTTGAGAGTTTAGAAAAGATGGACATGCTCCGATATGTTTTTCCTCATTGTCCTCTCAGAATACATAACACTCCGTGCAAGCGTCAAATTAATTAGCATTACGCCTCCTGTAGATGAATAAAAAAGCCACAAATGAAGCTATGTGTCTCAAGGAAGTAATAAAGTAGTGATTTTCTGTAAACAGACACAACGAAGTTCAGCTGTGGATTTTACAAAGTTGTGTGCCGCTTTTAATATCCCTTATTTACAGGGAAAAAAAATTTCTGGGCTTATGAATTGAAGATGAATGGTGAAGTCTTGGAAGAAATTAATGTTACTGAAAAATCATTTCGTCTGTTCAAAGCACTGGCTATTCGGGGGACAGCTCCTCATTTTATCAACTTGAAGAGATAACATTTCCTCTAGATGATGGTGCAGTTGCTATGGTAACTTTTTTTTAACGAGACTAAAAATAATGAAGCCTGTGTCTGATTTACTAGGACAAGTCAAGTCTTTCTCCACAACTGTCTGAAAGAAGTATCTGTCAGTTGTCACAGATTTATTTCAGATTAAGGGGCACATGGCTTAGGCACTGAAGTGGAATGTTTTTATATCCGCCTGACTCTTCCACTTTTGAATGTCATAGCTTTGCAGGGCATGGCAGACACATGCCTAATAGAGAGGAACAGAGAGGAGCTTAATGAGCCACAAAGAAGCATTCTTTATTTCAAGTGCATCCTGTATTCTCATTGGAATGAGTCCACAAAGCTGCTGGGTCCCCAAATCCTTCACTTGTAATTCCCCAGGCAGTCACACAGACAAGGCCAAAGGTGTTGTTAGCTAAGCTTCGAAGCAACAGCACCTCATTTGTTAGCTATTGGCTTTGTTCCAGACAAAGATTCCTGGGATCATGGCCCCAGAGAGTGTGTATGTGTCTGTATATGCCCGTGCTCCTGCGTGAGTGATGGAGCAGGGTGATGGGAGGGTGAAGATGAAGAAAAGGAGAGCTGTTCTACTCTCCAGAGTATTTGTTACATAACTTAACACATTTATTAAGCAACTACTGTGTGCCACACACTGTCCAGCACTGGAGTGACTGGGTTCATTAAAAAAATTAAAAGGTGATGTTTGGAGACACGGGGTGGAATAGCTAACAACTGACAGAAATAATATATTTCTTTCCTCCTTCTGTTTCTTTTCTTTAACCCTTCTTTCTTCTTTCTGTCCTTCCATACTTTATTGAGTGTTACCATATGTCAGACACATGCTAAGTACATGTAATACAAATCTGAACACAGCTAAGAACCCGCCCTCAAAGAGTCAATAGTCTAGTGAGGATGATAAATAAGCCAACATATGTATGACCCAGAAATTGCACTCTTTGACATTTATCCCAGAGAAATGGAAATTTATGTTCACACAAAAACTTGTACACAAATGCTCATAGCAACTTTATTCATAATAGCCCCAAATTGGAAACAACTCAGGTGTCCTTCAACAGGTAAAACAAACTGGTACATCCATGCCATGGAATACTAGGCAGCAATAAAAGGGAATGAACCCAAAACTTGTAGGAATCTCCAAAGAATCAGTGAAAAAAGCCCATCTTGAAACACTGCATGATTCCACTTATATAACATTCTTCAAATGATAAATTATAGAAATGGAGAACAGACTAGTGGTTGCCAGGAGCCAAGGAGACTTGCAGGTAGGAGGGAAGTTGGTACAATTACAAGAGGCAACAAGAGGGATGTTCGTGGTGATGGAAGTGTTCTGTCTCTTGACTGTGGTGGTGGTTACATGAAGAAGATGTAATAAGATTGCATAGAACCAAATATTGCATAGATGTAATAAAATTGCATAGAGCCATAGAACTTGTACACGAATACAAGTAAAACTGAGTAAATCTGAACACGACGGGTGATTGTGTCAATGTCAATACCCTGGTTGTGATATTGCACTATAGTTGTAAGTATAAAAAACATTGAGAGAAACTGAGTAAAATGTACACAGGATACCTCTATTATTTCTTCCAACTGCATCTGAATCTATAATTACCTCAAAATAAAAAGTTAACTAAAAAACAAATCAACATTTTATTTCGGGGGTGGGTGAAATGGGTGAAGGTGATCAAAATGGACAA